AAAGTCAAATATTTGGAAATGTTAATTAGAACTTTCCGACGATACTTGGTTGTCAGAGAGGTAATGACTGAGCAGAACGACTGGTTCATCGGGAATCAGAATACAGCTCAATGCCAAAAACCAAATCAAACCAATCCAAACCAAAAGCACTCTGAATTCAGACTAAGTTCTTTCAGCTGCATGTCCTAATATTATAGAAAACCAGGGAGAATCTTATCTTCATTATTTTGCATTGAGAGCTTCAGAATATTTATAAAAGCACCAATTTGTATTTTGTGATTTGCATGATAAAAACCTCTAGGGAGATAGATATACGGGGGTGGAGTCTTCAGTGATATTTATTTCCAGTGCTTGTCAACTAACAAATTGTCCTTGTTGAACAAAATGGTACGTGTTCTTCTGGGAGAATATATTAAAAGAAATAAGCACTCAAGAAAAACAGAACAAACGAAAAAACAAAGCAAACATAATATGGTAAAAACCCCATGCAAATATTTTACAAAGAGTACAAAAAATTGGTGATTTTTGTAAGCTAACAAATACATACTAAAAGTCAAGACGCTAACTCCCACTAACAGGAGATATATATAGTATGACCATTAGGGTTATTATTTAAAGATAGCAAATTTATAGTACTGGATTGTGTTTATAAATAAAATGAAATATCTGATATAATATGATTTGAGTGAAAAAATAATCAGTTATGGATTTTTAAAAGGTGAAGGGGATATTCTATCACCCAACAAGTTATATACATGAAGGAACATTTTTAAACAATTACTTTTAATTTCACATTAAACATCTTGAGTATTCCACTACTATTATACAGGGAGCAAAATTACTAGACTGAAAAATAACTCTTCCCTTCAAAAGGTATTCAAGCAGCAGTTTGCAAGCTCTAATTCACATTCAGAAACACATATAAGTGCTCATTGTAGTAAAGGAAGACAGGGTTGAAATATGGATCCATGAAGCCATTTTACTCCACAGTAATCACTCACTAATTTGCTTTGACACAGAGATGGAGGGGGTGCCCTGGGACAGTCCTTCTAATTTTATGTAGTGTTCACTCCCAGTCCACAATTCTGCCTTTTTTTGCTTCTTAGTGCCATGAGATTCACAATGAAACTAGCTGTGGTGAACTAGAACTTGAGGTGAAAGGCATTCTTTCTCCTTATTATTAGGGCAGGGGAAAATTTCTGATTATTTTTCCTTTACTGGTTTAGAGTAAGAGAAGTAAAATACAGAGCAGTCAGGCTTCTCTCCTTATGAGTTGGACTTTGTTTTTGTTTTCTTTTTGAAAAAGAAAGGAGGAAAGAATTCCCCGCTGTGGTTTCTGTTTCACTTGTATTAGGTACTTTCACACACTAAAAATTTAGTTAAAGCACTAGAGCTTTACAAATTATTTTATATTTTGTTTGTGAATATCGAATGCTAATCTATCATTTGATCATATTTGACAGATGGACGTAGTGGATGTGGCTTATTAAAAGGTCAGTGCTTCCTGTATGAAAGTCAAGATGAATAAGATTTCATTTTTCTTAGTGGTGAAGTACTCGGGTTTTTAAATGTGTTGGAATTTAGTAAAATCTGCACTAATAGACCATTTGTTTTACAATAGCCTAAACCTTGATATATTACAGCATAATACATTCCTTTGGAGGAGGGGGTAATTCAGAAGAATTTGGATTATATTTTTTGCCCTTAAAGTTAGATTATTGGGACTAAGTTAACTTTTGTTTATTTTTGGGCACTTCTTAAAACATCCCCCACCCCCTGGGGCATGAATGACATTAGAAAAAAATATTAAATATCCTTCTTTCCAGTTTTCTATAGCTTAATACTAGTTCTGATTATATCAAAATGATAACTCAATACCACAAAATGCCATTTTGTGGGTTTTACTTTAATTGAATAACAAAATTTTCAAAACATCTTTAATCAAGAACATAAATTTTAAATGTTCTTGATACTACTTACGTATGATGATTTAATAATATTCTCTTTCAACAATTTTTTTTTCTTTTACTGAATTAGTTGCATAATTAAAGTATCACTTCTTGATGTGAAGCAATGAAGCAATCTATCTGGTCATGGATATGTTTAGCATTTCTCATCAACAAGAAGGCTGACTCTTCCATGCTCTGCAAGTCCCTAAGGAATCAGAAACTCGTGGGTACCAATGCCTGTGAAGGTAATTCGCTTTTAAAGCATGACATGGAGAACTAGCTGGTTTTAAATAGGAAATTTGGATTCTCTTTAGAGCCTTAAGCATGCTTCAAAAGCCAATTATTTTCATATATACATAATTGCATAATTTTTATGGTCTCACCTGCACTAAAATAATTTACACTGCCTCTGTATTTTCGAATTAGCAGAATGAGTTCTACCAAGTAAACAAACCTTAATCTTCAGTTTTGTATTTTCAAACATATTTCGTGACAAAGCATCCAATTGCTTTTTGTCACTGTTATTAACCTGATGTTAGAATGATTTGATAGTGTGAACAGAACGATCAATCCCGGTAAGGTAGAAGCACCATTATTTTAGCTATTGAAATATGTTAGGCAATAGTACAAATTGCTTAGCATCAACGGTGCATAACAGAGACTGAAAAAATACGTTCTTGTTCTTCTCCGACCATGGTTCATTAGTGTATAACATACAACTTCTCATGAACACCCCACTTTAAGTTCTTTATCTAATTCATAGTTTGCAGTTTAATTAACTCAGTGCTTCTAGTTTAATTTACCCTCAGTTGAATTTTCTGTAAGAATTTGAGTGTTTTATAGAGAAACAAACTTATACGAATCTAAGATATAAATACTGGCATACTTCTTTCTGATTAGGAATTCCGAGAACAGTTTAATTTTGGAATGCTTTTCACCTAAAATAGCTAATTAGACTACAAGTCTTAAACTTGAATTTGGTTGTACAGATTAGAGAAATAGACCGACAATATCAGAAAATCCATATTAAATTATGGGGAAATCATAAGAGAAGTGAATGAACTAGAACAATGAACATAAAAGATTTTGTTGCATGTTAGAAAATGAATAAAAGAAACTCAGTTTGATTTCGAGGTACATAGATAATTAGTTCTCCCTCATCAGAAGTTGGGCTATCTGCATTTGAAATTGTATTGATTTTTTTTTTTTCCCCACACACTTTAACTGATAATCTCTAGAACACAGCGAATCTTGATTTAATCTAGAATATGATAGTTCACAGAACTGTGTTTACTGGAGCTTTTGCCAATTTGAGAAGTAGTTTATTTCTAAAATGGCATACAAATCAGGAACGGCATTAAGGGGAATCATGGTTAGGGTAGAAGAGACGGTCGAAAAGACACCTATTGTGGTTTTTTGTTATTATTTTAGAAATATTATAAATAATGAGGACAGTGAAGATTCCTGTAATGACATGAAAGCACCAAAAATTCCTCACAAAGTAGAATACTAATGAATTTGAATGATTCACCTCTGTTAGTCGGGAGTTGTTCATCACACAAATAGTTCACTTTTGTAAAACAGTCATTTCAAACTTTATAGTCTTTATTTACAATGATAATTTGCATATATTTATTACTTAGAAAATAATTTATATGTTTCCATCATTTAAACAAAGAATAGGCCTGAGTCTCATGCCTTTTGCACAGTTTTTACCTTCAAAGAAACTTCTCTGGGAAAGAGAGGCAAGAGACACGGGAGAACTGCCGATCAACAGTTTACATACAGCTATTGTAATATTATCATGCTGCATGACGCACAACCCCTTTTCTTTAGTTTTGCTGTGATTGCAATGGTTAGGATTTGTTCTGGAATTCTATCAAAACAGAACAGACACAATGGGATATTCTGTTTTTAGGAAAATGGGTAGTTTCTGAAACATAATACGAGGAAATTCCTTCACTTATCAGATGAAGACCAACATAGATATAACCCCATACAGAGATACTCTCTTCATCTTCTACTGAGCGCAAAACTAGGTCATATATAAATGGAGAAAGAAAAAAAAAGATTTTATAGTTTAAAAAAAAACCCATGAAAGTGGTATTTTCACCAAGTAAACAACATTCTAAAGGTCAGCTTAGATAGATAACTGGAAAGAGATTCTATTAGCTGCTGAAAATGACATCAATGGCTCTCCAAATATACCTGCTCTTTTACTTAACAGAGAACAAGCAACTGACATCAAGGTAACCACTTCCAATTTTTCCTTCTTTTGACTTTATGGTTTCCTATACAATTATCCTTTTCTCCAAGTGGATTAGAAATTTCTTCTTTTGAAAGACCTGAGTTAATACAACAGCGCCTACAAATAGGCTGATAGAAAATGTAGTAAATTGCAACAAGTACTCTGGCACCACAGGAAGTAAGCTCTGGAGTTGGAAGTGAACCCAGTAATATTGCTGTCACCCTGGAGGAGGAGAATATTACAGGCAGAAAGTATTTTTTTGTATCCCTAAGCATTCTTTGTCTGTGCAGAAAAATGACCCAATTGATGAATATCCATCCCTCCCTTTTTTTTTTCAATTGACCTCTAGTTTTAATAATCAATATACCTGGACTGATAAACATAATTCTGAAGAGGTTCTAATCGCTGTGGCTACTATTATTCCTACCATTTCATGAACCTGAAAACAAAACAAAGTTAACAAACAAAAACCAGACCGTTTGCTGAGGTCGACACTCTGGCAGCCACACGGTCTCGTGCTTGGGGTCGCACAGTTTTGCGAAAGCCGGGAATATACAGTTATGTACTCACAAATGTTTAATTCATTTTTGCATTTTCCATCATCCTACTCACTCCACACCTAGATTTTTCCTCGACTTATATTTATTTCAGAAATGTAGAGCATTTGGAAGAGGGAAAAGCATTTGCAATCAGGTATAACGGATATGTAAGCATACATGATGCGTTATTTTCCTTTCCTAACTGCAAAGGCAAGAAAAAAAGTAAACTAATTAGGGAGATGTATTTGACTCACAGTCATTTCTGCAGACAGAGAGATATACAGGCAATACTAAGAAAAACGGGAAAGAACACAGTAAGTCCTAAATAATGATGACGTAGTGTCAACTCAAAAAGACTGAAATATGTTCTAGTTATTTAGGTAGAAGTCTGGGTCCATTTGATCTTTTTCTCACTTGCCCTACTTATTGGAAAAGTGGTCTTAAAGCAATGTTTATTTTTGATTTGTATTATCATTGCCTTAGTTGAAAAAATACTGTAGATTATTGGAAAATCATTGCCTCAGAAGAGAACAATATCTGTTTACGAGAAACAAAGGCATTTTTAATGTCAACACTCTATTCTATGACTTCGGAGGAAATAAAGGGTTAAAATCACTATCAAACTAAGATTGTTTAGATGCTGAGCAGGGCCATATACAGGTCTGTAGGAAGAGTTATAACCAAAAAGTGTTGGGAAGAGATGTCCACTGATTATAAAACACTCTGCATCTTCTGGATAAGAAAGTCTTTCATCTGGGAGACATGGACCCAGAATTCTTTCAGTTAGCGAAAACTACTAGTGAAAAAACATTCTCTGCAGCATCCTCATTAAATTGGCATAAAATGACTAGATCAGATTATTATTTAAATTAGAATGGGTAGATGAGTGGCTGTCCCTCGCCCCATGCAAATGAACCTTCATTCTCTTCTTGGGCTTGGAGATGGCTAAAATGTATAAAAATGGTGGTTAAAATATAACTATAAAAATGTTTCCCTTTTCTCTTTTTTTTTTTTGTAAAGAGTTTACTATCTACAAAACCAAAAACAAAAATCTTTATATATTTACATCAAGATAACTATTCATGACGAATATAATAATATGAAATAAAATATTGAAAGTGAATATCAACTTTTTAAATAGAGGTTTGGCTCACAGCATAAACAAGTGTAGATAAACAAACAAACCAAAAACAAAACAAAAACAACTTTCAATGATTGGCCCAATTCCAAAACAATCGCTCTATAATCTTCCCTGCCAAAAGCAGCATGACAGTGGGCCAGATTGCAGCTAGAAACTGACCCATCACACCCCACGTGGAATACCAGACAGGGGTTGTCAGTGGGACCTTTACCCTCCAAAAGCCAGTCTTCAACAGTTGCCAAGAATCAGGCTCTCACCATGTCAACACCACCAAAACACTAGGTAGAAATTCTCTCCCCCGTCTCTAAAAACTCCAGACAGGATTTCTGTTTGCCTTTCTTTCTTTTTCTAGCACACATTTTGCAGCAAATTAAGAAGTCATAGGTGATCACTGTTAAATGTAATTTCCCAGGCCTTCTCCAGCAACCTTTCAGAATTCTAACCTGACTCCAGCTCTTTCTTAGAAGTGTTTATGTGTAAAGAATGTCATCCCTTTAAATGGTGATTTGATCTTAGATGAGTGACACACAGACTCACAGACAGACACACAGCCTTCTATACATTCACTAGGCGCCTAGATTGGAAAATGCCTTTCCTTCTGGTTGGAGGCTGGTTATAGAGTGCCTCCAAGTGGTGCATAGCAGTAGTACCAATCACGTGGCCCTCTCGAGCAGCCCATGAACACACTCTATCTGCAAAGGAAGCTTTCTTGCAGCTAAAAGGCAGACGGCATTTAGAATAGCTGCCTCTCAAAGACACCCCAGAATAAACTTCCTTCTGTTTGTTCACATGTACTGAGTCATCTGCTACAGTTATTTGATGAATTACTAAAACTATAAAAGTCTCTCTCTACATTCACACCAACACACATACACACAGGCACCCTTTCAATCACTGCTTACACACATTTACACATATGCGTGTCCACACACACGATATTGGCAGGATGCGTCAGAATTCGAATAATGCTCTGGAACTTTCATCCCTCAGTGTTAGAGCAAAAGCTGCTTAGTTGCTAACCTACATTTGCTGTACTGTTTCCTTGCTAAGCCGCACCTTTTCCCTTGTGATTTGTTTTCCTTTACGATTTATTATATCACAGTGACCACTATATACTTAATATAAATGCTACTAAATTATGAGCCAGTAATCCCGGCTTTTGGTCTATGTGCATGTGTGCATGTGTGTGTGTGTATGAATATGATTTACATGTATCTATGTGTGAGCTTATATAGACACACACATATATATTTCCTCCTTAAAAAAAATTCTTACAAGCTGGTGTCAAAGTGTGAAAGCTTCTTTGAGCAAGAGTTTAAACAATGTAACTCACTGTAAAAATAAACACATAAAATGCGAAGAATCCCCAAATGCAACAGCCATTTGTCCATCTTCTCATATTTCTACAGTGTTGTGTCTAAGTGTTGTCCTGGCTTGAAAAGTCTGTGACAAGTCAATCGGTTTGGAACCACAGCCTGCTCCACCCACTGTCACTGGTTCGGCTTTGGGGGTGGGCTCTCCTCCACTCCCTGCTTTCCTTTCTCTTCCTCTTCTTCCCTGATGGCCTGGATCTGTTCTGAGGAGTGCTGCTGAGAGCACTGGTCCAGGGATTGCCTTTCCATGCCTGCCAACCGCTGTTCCTCTTCGATGACCTTCTTCCACATCTTGTGGTTCTCCAGGAGGTGCTGAGTAATTTGGCAGAAGATTTTCCTCCTTTGGAAAGTTTTCTTTCCTGAGAAAACACCAAATTAGAATATTCATTTGTATACTGAGTATAGGAAAGTTATTTCCTTTCCGATTATTCACAGGAGTTAAGTACCAAAGGGATACATATATGCAGGGATAGATTACTCAATAAGCAAGGTGAGCACATGCTTAGGGCCTCAATTGTCCAAAGCAAAGACCCACAGATGCCAAGCAGACAGGACACAAGGAAAAGTGAGCACCACAGTGGAAGGGAACTGGCAGAGCACTAAATGAAATTGATACCAGCTCCAGTGCGTGAGAATGTGCCGGCTGGAAATAAAGTTCATTCCAAGCCATGAGGGAACGCCCATGTACGAAGCTGTTTAAGCTATGAGGCCCCTACTACTTCAACACCTTCTCTGACATCTGTCTCCTACGGCCCCCTCCAGGTAATTGAAACTCCTTATCTCAGTGGGTCTCTTAGGAGTATACTATTTCTGTTTCTAATAAATAAGAGGTGGAAGTGGGCAGCCAAGTCTAACTCTTGCTATATTCACCCAATATGCAACTGAAGCCAGCATGAGCAGTTACTGAGCAAGGATGGATTATATTAATAGATAACAGGCCTCTGATTCATTTTGAGAGAACCGTCTTGTACATCCACGTCTGCGATTTCAGCAACTCCAGCTAGGAGAGCCAGCGATGCTCTTTGCCATGATACAAACACAAGGGTGTGCTCTTGCAAACATTCTGGTAAACAACCAAATGGGAACGCCAGTTCCAGATGATGCACAAAATTGAGGGAACTTGAATAAGTCAACCACTGCAATGAATTCACTCAAGTTACTTTTTAACTGTATAGCATTTAGGTACAGAGTTATGTCACTGGGTGAAGAAGAGGCTAGTACTCCAGGCAGAGTGAGGGACATGTGCACAGGCAGAAGGCATGCCACCCTGGGGCATGACCCCATATAGCAATTTCTTCATTTGAAACCTTCCTTAAACCCATTGCCATCGAATCGGTTCCAACTCATAGCAACCCTATAAGATAGAGCAGAACTGCCCCATAGGGTTTCCAAGGCTGTAATCTTTACAGAAGCAGACTGCCACATCTTTCTCTCCCAGAGTAGCTCGTGGGTTCGAACTGCCGAACTTGTGGTTAGCAGCAAAGCACTTAACTATTGTGCCACCAAGGCCCCTTTAAAAGTTTCCTAATATATATATAAACTAAAATTTATTTTAAATTATACTCTTTCAGTCAAAGCTAATAAAATACATGAATACATTAGATTTTTGAAAGAAAATTTAAAAATTACTCTTCTGCCAAAGCCATCTACTTGTATATTCTTACTCTTTTTGTTGTAGTTAAGTAGACATAAGCTTCTGTTGAGGAGAAATTTGGAAATGTTAATATAATTTTTAACCTAATCAGTTGAATCAAGAGAGTTACAGATGGCCACTGGTTGAAGGAAAGACTTGAATCACAGTTGTAGGAAATACTCTATTGCTCAAGGTGATTATTCCATCTGAAAGTTATACACATTCATAGTAGCACATTCATAGGGATGAAGCTAACAAAAGCTCAATTTTTCTTCTTTTCCTTTCAGGACAGATCCCTTGAGAGCAGCTGTTCTCTTATTAATGCTGTTAAACATTAGCAATAAACCGCTCTGGGATTATACTGAATAAGGTGACGTAGAAGAAAGTTTGTACCAAATAAATTTGTGTAGATTAGAGTCTGCAGGTGGTCAAAAACATGCCTGTGTTGGGAGCCAAATTGTTCAGCACTGGAAACTTTTCAAAGGAGAACAAAGAACCTTTCATCGCTCCAAGTCTAAACGTAGCTTAGTATTTCATTAGAAACCTCTTAGTTCGCTGTAGGAATCTTTCAGATTAATTATGAGGTGGGGAAAAGGCATTCTTTCCCTGGGATACCATATTGAAACATTTTATTCTGTGTTCCCTGGGAGATCTCCAAGTTTTGCAAATCTCAGAAGTTATCAGTGCATATTTAATGTGATTTTTTTCCCTCAAATCTAAGCATCAGGCTAAATCAATGTAACCCTTTAATTCAATATGAATTCTGAAATTAAAAATACCAAGTGTAAAAAGCAATGAAGTTAAAAGTTAGGAAACCTGGGTTCCTCTTCTGACTCTGCTCTGAGAACGTTACTTAATCTTCCAAGCTCCAGTTTAATCTTTTGTAAAGTGAGGCAGCTCCCCTGGATGACCACTGATCAATTCTCCTTCAAGTTCTAAAATTCTATTACTCCATGTGGCCAATTTTTAGTAAATAAATAACTACTAACATAGACCAACATTTATCATTTTCTTGGCTGTAAGGGAACACTTCAAACATAATTTTTCAAAAGCTATGGTATCAAATCATTGTTGATGGGATATTTTAAATTTTAATGTAAGACGCCCAATTGGCTTTTGGAAGCCATTTGTGAGCAGAAACCACAGAATTCTCTTTGCTGCTTTAGAGAATTTGAGAAGAACAGGAAGGTCAGGAGAGTAACACAACAGAATCTGGAAGTCAGTATGTAACCCAAACACACAGAAAAGAAAGGAATTAAATATTTGGTTGTAGCATTTGCTGCTAAGCCTGGATTGAGAAGCTGAGCGTATTAAATCTGGCCTGAGTCCTTCGATTCCTGATGTGTGGCTTGTGGACCTGTGTTTTCAAAATGTTTGAATTCAAATAGCAATTGGTTAGTGTCTCTGGGAACAAAGCTCTTTCCAGAGTTTAAATCGACAACACTTTTCAACATCCTTCAGTGGAAAGACTGTCTTGTCCTTGGACAGAAAGCTACCTGGCTCTTAGAAATTAAAACAAAGTGAAAAAAGAACTTGTACATGCTTATTAGATGAACAAATAAGTCCCAAGTCTTGGCTTTTAGTTCTGAATCCTAGGCTGAGCACAACATTTATAATGGAAGTCTTTTGATCAACATAAGACAAATAAAATATAATTACCTTGACAATAGAATATTGTAGGAAAATAAACTTTAATTTATCCCCACTCTGTACAGAAGTTAATATATACAGCAGAAGTTAAGCAACAATCTACTTAAAGCCAAATTTACAAAACCTTATCCCATAAATTTATAGTTTACAATGATCTCTTAGTCTCTGCTTTGGAGTCCCTGGGTGGTGGAAATGTTTAAGCTGCTCAGCTGCTAAGCTGAAGACTGGAGGTTCCAGTCCAACCAGAGGTACCTAGGAAGAAAGGCCTGGCAATCTACTTCTGAAAACTCAGTCATTGAAAACTCTATGGGACACAGTTCTACTCTGACACACATGGGGTTGCCTTGAGTTGGAATAGACTCCAAGGCAATTGGAAAATCTGGCTTATGTATACTTACAACAGACTACTTATATGAGGACAAAGCAGATCAGTACAAGGACAGAGAATCTGTTTACTGGACAGCCAGACGGAGTTAAGCCATGTGTTTTCCTGACTGCCAATGGGAACAAAATGATGAGAATGTCTTTCATTGGTAATATTTTTTGCAAGGGCTTCGAAAACTATTAAGGTATATTTCTTTGTCTTCAAGGCAGAGAGAAACAACATACATTCTATGTTCTCAGGAACACAGGAACAGGAATTGTGCAAAGTCATTGTAAGAGTCATGAGTTTTAGTAATTATGATATTAGTCACTATTTTTTTCATGGCAAGAGAAATAGGTGAGGATATTTCAAAACATGAAGAAAAATAATGTTTTTATAACCAAATAAGTTAAACCAATTAGATCACCTCTAGGAATGCACTCCAAACCAATTCCCAGATGTGACTGCTTCTCATTGTCCCCACTACAACTACCCTGTTCTAAAACCACAATCATCTCCCACCTGGATAATTTCAACAGCATCCTACATCATCTCCCTGCTTAGACCCTTG